TATTATACAACGGTTTATAATCGTGTGCAAGCAATGCATTTGCTAGGTTTGTGCTTTTAAAATAATCAGGCTTTGTCAATACTATTTAATTTGACAGGGACTGTAAAGTAAAAGTAGTGAATAGTTTCTTGTATATTGCTTGGTTTTGGAACTGTGTACATTTTGACTGCAAAGTTCTAACTTGGATTTTTTTTTTTTTGGTGCTTTACTAGTGCCAATAAAGGCAAATATAAGAAAGGAGTTGTTTACACAATATGGGTGAACAACATAAAACATGAGTAGAACAAGCTAGTTCTATAATTCACTGTAACAGTGCTGCACAATTAAAGTAGGGACTATTTGTATTATGAAGGTTTCCTACGCTTGACCATCTGTGACCAGCGGAGAAGCAAAGTGTGATTCATTTCCTGTGGTCAGAGCAATTTTCCTACAATTCTCACCTTTCCTCCATGTTCCCGCGAAGCCTCCTTTAAGTTTTCCCGAACATCCTGTCATTTTAGACAGAACACCGGCAAAACTACCGAATTGCGTCCTAACAGAATGAGAACAGTTTCTCCATTCGTGTTAGGACACAATTCGTGACTTTGTTCATATCGGAATTTCATTTGAATGAATTAAACTCCAATCCTATTCGTGCCGCGGCTGCATCTTGCAGCCACTTAGCAGATAGCTCCCTAATTCCCACGGTATGAGGGAGCTATCTATCAAAAGGCTGAAAGACCTAAATTGGTCTTTCAGCCAAGTTTACTAATACTAAGTAAAGATTACTTAGTATTAGTAAATAATCTGCTCCTACTCGCTATACTGCAAGTAGGGGCATGTCTATTAAATAGTGAGCAGCCTGTGGCGGCTCACTTTAAAAAAAAAAAAACCCTAGTGTCCCCCCTCCCAAACCCCGACCCGTGCTGCGCGAGCAGGGGCTATTAAACTGAATAGGGGACCTATTTCGCCCCTGCTGACACCCCTGAATGGCGGTGGGGGCCCTAAATGAAATTTGGGGGGGGGGGATCTATTGTCCTCCTGCCTGACCCTCCACCCCTGAGCAGTGGGTGGGGGCCCTTAATGAAAATGTGTGGTGGGGGGGATCTATTGTCCTCCTCCTCTGGCCCCAACCCCTGAGTGGTGGGGGGCCCTAAATTAGAATAAGGGGGTGACCTATTGACCTCCCCCCCATCCCTCACCCCTGAGCAGAAGGTGGGGGCCCTAAATGACAATGGGGAGACCTGAGTGGAGGTTGGGGGCCCTAAATAACAAGAAGGGAGGGGGACCTATTGTCCTCCCTCCCGACATCCCCCTGAGTGGTGGGTGGGGGCTCTAAATTACAATAAAGGGGGGGACCGATTGTCCTACACCCTGGCCCCCACCCTGAGCGGTGGGTGGGGGCCCTAAATCAGAATAAGGGTGGGGACCTATTGTCATCTCCTGGCCCCCACCCCTGAGCAGCGGGTGGGGGCCCTAAATCAGAATAAGGTGGGGGACCTATTGTCCTCTTCCCTGCCCCTAAATGAAAATGTGGGGGGGCCTATTTTCCTCCTCCCACCCCTGAGCGGCAGCTGTGGGCCCTAAATAACAATAAGTGGGAGGGGACCTATTTTCCTCCCCCCCCCGCCCCTGAGCAGCAGGTGGGGGCCCTAAATGAAAATGTGGGGAACCTATTGTCTCCCCCCCCGACTGAGCGGTGGGTGGGGGCCCTAAAATAGAATAAGGGGGGGCCTATTCTATTGCACACCTTTGCAATAATCATGCTGTCTAATCAGCGTCTTGATATGCCACACCTGTGAGATGGATGGATTATCTTGGCAAAGAAGTGCAAAGGAGAAGTGCTCACTAACACAGATTTAGACAGATTTGTGAACAATATTTGGCCTTTTGTGTATATAGAAAAAGTCTTGGATCTTTGAGTTCAACTCAAGAAAAATGGGGACAAAAACAAGTGTTGCGTTTATAATCTTGTTCAATATGTATGTATGCATACATGCATACGCAAAATTCAAAAGCAGTTTCAATCTACATTTGGGAATTTGGACAGCAAAAATACATAACTATCAACAGTATATATATATATATATATATATATATATATATATATATATATTTATGTAAATATAAATTAGTAGACTTACCCCAGGAGTAATTAGATGCAATACTCAGTTTTCCTGTGGTATAGCGTGCATGCGTGCCATGTGTTCTGCTCCCTCAGGCTGCCTAGACCATTACGGTTGCCATGGATATTGGAAATGCCTTAAACTAACTTGTGCGATGTGACCTGCCTACTGGTCTCTTTTGGCGCGTCTCACTCCAACCGGGTAACCACTCCTCCGGCGTGATGACGCATGAAAACACATTGGAGCATGGATACAGGTACTCTTGATAAAGGTAGCGAGTTGGTGCCAAAACATTGGGGGGTGTGGTGACTTGTGTTTCTGCCTCGTGGCTTGTAAGATTTCTTGGTATTGTACCATTGTATTATTGTATTGCCTCTACTTCTGTTATTTTGTTTGTTTTGGTTTTGTTTGTTACTAAGTTTTTTGTACATAATAAAGTCAGATTATATTTACAGTTTTTTAGTTTTTTTACAATTCTTTATTTTTGTTGCACATTGAAATATAACTGTGTGGTCCACAATGCCCGAACAACAAAGCAGACAATAATCAATGGTTTCTGGACAATGTGATTAGCATTGTTAGTACATAGTGCATTTTATATTATACGACTTTCAACATGGACAGTGATATGTGAGGAAGGAAGAGACTATCATTTGTGATGTCCTGTACATACCAGTTCCTGTTTGTGTGGGAGCTAAGGGTATGTTTTGGTGTGAGGATATTGATGAGATAGATGCCGCACCTTGGTTGGAGTGGTATAGAGGCCGCTAAGAGTTGTTTGTTAGGGGCCCTCGGGTCGTCCCTTGGGGTCCTCCCATTGGCCCTGGAGAGTTTAGTTGTGGGCCTAGGTGTTTGCCAAGGAAGTGATCAGGTTGTGGCCCTAGTAAGCCTCTGTGCCGTTGGTAAAGCCTCCGGGCGGCTCCTACTTAAGGGTAAGTGGAGGGGATTGTGTAGTGCCAGTAGCGGGGGTGGCCTACGGTGGAGTTCTGCGGTTGTTATCATTAGGTCTGGCCCTACCAGTATATGCTGCTCCGTTTGCTGTGCCCAATAACCCCCGGGCGACTTAAGGGGGGGTGGGAGAGCAGTTATGTGTGGGCCTGGAGGATCTATCTTAAGGTGTTGCCTTTCTTCATTTGAGTATGGGGTTGTAACGGACCGTTTTGCACAAAAGGGGTAAAAACTGTTTAGGCGATCAGCCCCCTTTCCAGAGATGCAGGCACAGCTACTGTAGAACACCAAACACACGAACCGCCAATAAGTGAATGCTGCAAACTCCCGAACGGCATCCAATATAGCACTCCAAATACACGAACAGGAACCATACGATTTGCTGCTACCAGACGAATAGGAAAAGCATCCAAGCGGCTTACACTCCTAGCAATCAGTCTCTATCAGCATTCAGTAAATCCCCCCAAAGACGAGACAAGGCTCCGTGTTGGGGGTCAAGCAGTGGTCTGTTTAATGAGGGTTACCTGCCCAGTATTTATGCAGGTCTCCCACCTGGTGGACACTCCCCTAGGTGACCAAATGGGAGACTGTCACAAGGGACAGACAAGCAGACAAAAAGGACACACAGTCACAATATATTCCCACAATGCATCCTGGCTTCCTCCCCTCTGCCCTGGGAGATAATTGAGAAGTAATTCAATTATCTCCCAAGACAAAGGCAAATCGCCATTATGCATGTGGGGATACCAAAACCAGCATTACTGTTAAAATACATCATGTAAGACACATTACATTAAAACTATACATTTAACATATCCCCAGATAGCTCAGGTCTGAGCGCACATTATTAAGCGAATGGCGCTCAGACCACATGAATACAGTTTAATCGCCATGGAGCCAAAGTCTTTACAGTCAGTTTCATGCGAATGGGCTCCATGGGATTCCTATCTGGGGTATAACATAGACAAGTAAAACTACCGAACACCGGGCCGTTCGTGTACTTCCACCGAACAAGAAGGGAGGTCGGCGGCTTCAGCGGTGTTCGCGCAAAACTGTGTCCGATTTTAGTTCCATGAATTAAGCGTCGAACACCGCTGTGCATTCGTATGTTTAAAATGGCCGCGACCTCGTGTTCGGGATACGAATGGCGGCCACCCAGCATTCGTCAATTAAGCTGCGGTTAACCGCAGCTTCAGGGAGGTTAATTGCCGGCACACTCCAGCTCCCAGGTGGTCTATTCATTTGTGCGGTTGTTCGGTAGATTGAATCTACCGAACAACCGGCAGAAAAGCACGAATACAGCTTTTCTGCAGGCGAAACAAAGTCTTTTAACAGAGGGGCCATAATCCAGAGGCAGCAGGCGAGCAACCAGGCTTCTCCAATGCAATGTGGCGAGATTGGTCTCGTCACATGGGTAAAAGCTGTAAAAGTTTAGAATTAAGGAGTATAACACAACAATAACGATAGTAATGTTAAACTAAAAAGTACTTAAAGCAGTCCACCATTATGGGGGGATAGAGTGTGAGGTACGCCAGAGTTCTGGAGTCGGCCTTTCCTGCCTATTCTCCCTGTGGGCAGTATCTCACCCTGTGTCCGGTCCCTTACGTGGGACAAAGGGGACAATATTTCTCACATCCCAGGAGGAGTGCGTCATCGATGTGGAGGCTGGTTCCTGGGCAAGGCCCAGTTGCGCCAGAAACGATTGGGAGTCCTCTGATGCTGTGAGTCGGAAGGTAGTGCCGTCTTTGCTGGCTGTCAGGGTGTGGGGTGGCCCCCATCTGTAAGTGATTCCTGCCTTCATTACATCATGGACCGATCGCCTCCATTCGAGCGTAGCTCTGCATAAGACCTGGAGGAAGATAAGTTGCATACCTTCAAATTCGAATGGGACTTTAGAACTCAGTGCCTCCTGGATTGTTTTTTTGCCCCTGAAGGATATGAAATGGATCAGGAGCTGAGTCGGCGCCCTCTGGGATTTAGGGAGTCGTGGATGCCATCCGCCAAAGCTTGTTTGGTATGTTTGTGTGGCAGTAAGGCCGCAAATAGGCACCTGAAATAATGTGGTAGTTCCTCAGGGGTGACCGACTCCGCTACACCTCGTACTTTGAGGTTCTTGCGGGTGCATGTATCGTCCATCGCATTCAATCTCTTCTGCACGTCTTCAAGCGAGGTTTGTATTTGGCGGACATGCTCCGACGTTCCAGCCTGAGCTTGGGAGAGCGAGGTAATGTTTTCTTCAGCTGCTGTGACCGCTGTCACCTCCTCCTGCACCACCACCAGATCAGCCCTAAAAAATGACCAAAGTTGGACCATAAGGTCAATTATGTCTCCCTTGGTGGCCAGAGCTCCACGGTCCCCTGTTAGTGTGTGGGGTGTGGATTGTGCAGCCTCGGGTATTGGGTCAGGGGCGTCTAATAGTTCCTCTGATTCAGATGAGGAGTCTTGGTTTGCAGGCGGTGCTGCCATTTTAGGTTTAGGCCGCATGTGGAAGAGTTCCCTGATACTTTGGTGTCCATCTCCTGCTTGTGTTTTGAGCTTCTTCAAGCATTTCCCCATGTCTTCCCCGGTATCAGGGGTACGGTCTGGGTTAGTTTTGGGTGACTTATGCATTTTTTTTGTAGCTTTGTAGTCGATTTTCCCTAGAGCTCTATAGATCTGCGACTGCTCTTGCCTCCATGCAGGCCACACCCCATCCGTGCAGGCCACGGCCCAAGATTATATTTACTGTTTGAAGTTGTTATAGTGTGCATTCTATATTATATAGATATTTGAATATTTAAACATTTAAGGGAGTGTTTATATGGTTTGCACCTAGCTATTTAACTATTGTCTCTACATGTGATTTCGGTTTTTGAACATATATATATAGTAGAATTAGACACGTATAATTTAATTCTGATTGCTTTTTGTCTAAATACAAAATGTTTCCTATTTTAAGCTATTTCAATATAATGCAGTGATAACAATGTATAATGCATATTTGAGCTGTCATTTTTATAGTTTTTATTTTAAAATTTAAATGTTTAGTACATCAGAGAACACAATCTAAATACATCTATCACAACACAATCTAAATAGAAAGAAACATAAGAGATTGCAATGCATTATTATTTCTGTGTTTTATATAGCAGCAAGTGTTTTTGACATGTGCAAGTCGATCAATAACCATATCTAGGGAGACTGTGTAGGCAAATCATTTCCTGTTGTAGAATTTATTATTGTTGAAGGCAATGCAGTGACGTTATATATTTTCTGGTTTCACTGTTTGAATCCAGAGCCCAAGCGTACTAATTTTTTGGAGAAGTAATATAATTGACTATGGCTTAATCATATAAAAATCAATATTGATCACTTTAAATTGTAATATCAGTCTGTCAGTCTATCTATTGCTCTCTGAATAAACTCTAAAATTAAAATGTATTTTTAAGTACAAAGATCCTTCAAGATCATTTAAGGTAAAACATATTGAATATTAACCAATTCTATCTGAAATAAAAAAAATTGTAAAATAAAAAAATGTTTTCAAAAATTATAAAATGAGGGATTGTGAAAAAATACACAATGTGAGGTATTGATAAAATATATTTAAATACATGAGTTGCTATTATGTAAACCTCCTGAGGTCACTGTTGTTCTATGAAGAATATACAGGAAAAACTGTTTAGATAACTACTGCTTTTCTAGAGGATAAACATGGATTGATATGGCATTAGAGATTAGTCTGGGGTGATAGTGTTCTCCTGATGTCTTAACTCTTCCATTGCCATAGATGAAACAAGCAATGCTCTTGAAAGCCTTGTTCATACCTCTTTAGTGGGTTAAATGACACGTCTCTTTTATACTATGTTCTCTCAATTTACCAGAATCATGTGTTAGACATAAGTACATAATACTTTAATGACAAATGAGCAAATACATGTTTTATGCTTTTGTGTTGCCACTGCATTTTCAGTCAAACAGATGGGTATGCATATTTCATTATTTAACACTGAATGTATGCAATGTTAAAAGGTACTTATGGCACCTTACTTGTTAGACACATAAGCAAAGTTAAGTCTACAGTATTTGTTCTCTGGAAAGATAGGATAATCAGACTACAGGTTTTCAGTTCCATTGCTTTCAAACACAATGTGGTTTTTAACCCTATAAGGACATTGTTGTGTCATCATGCATCACGGATGCCATAAAATTAGTAGGACATTTATATTTGGAATGTTATTTTCTTTTTTTTTTAATTCTTTATTTTAATTGCGCATATAATGTTACAGAACATAGGTGTTGTTTGCCACCCGTGTATAACAGTTAACAATTCTAGGTATGCAGGCAACAGAGTCTGCGCATTTTTACATTTTTCACAGTTGTACAACAAAGTAGGGTAACAGTAAGTAGTTCGAGGGAATTTTGTCATTAGGCGGACAATATAGTTTGGTCTATTGACTTCAATACAACTTTAAGCGTGATATAGTTTGTAGAGTATAGTAATGAGGGAACAACGGGGGAAGGGTAGGAACGGTGCAGGTATTAGGGTGGTCGTGTGTAGGTGGTGATTTAGACGATAATTAGGTGGCTCTATTGCCTAGATAAGTCAGCCAAGGCTGCCATGTTAAGGTGTAGGTGGTGTATTTGTTCGAGTATGATGCGTCTAGTTCTTCCATGGTCCTTATGAATTCTACCTTTTGTATCCACTCCCGTACTGACGGGGCCCTGGTGCTCTTCCATTTCAACGGTATCAACATATTTGCTGCTGTCAGCATATGGTTGACTAGTTTGCGTTGGAGGTTCGGTATGTGCGTTGTGTGTACGAGGAAGAGGAAAGTTTCAGGTGACAGTGGTAATTGATGGCCTGTAATAGCTTTGATTAGCCCTCCCAACCTCCGCCAATAAGTTTGGATGGCCAGACATAGCCACCAGATATGAGCTGTAGTTCCTTTGGGTTGCCCGCACCTCCAACATGTATCTGGCGCTGTTGGAAAGATAGCATGTATCTTAGCGGGTGAGTAGTGCCATCTGGAGATTCTTTTGTATGTGCTTTCCCTCACTGCGGTGCTAATGGACGTGGTATGGGCGTATATCAATATTTTGTGCCATGTTCCCACTGGAATGGTGATCCCCAGCTCAGTCTCCCATGCCGCTGTGAATGGGGGAGGAGGGGTGAGATTGGTGGTGTTAAGGAGTTTGTAGAATATAGATAGGTGCTTGATTCGTAGGCTGTGGGTAGTACAGTAGGTTTCATATTTGGTGTGTGCTCTTGTTCCTCGAAGAAGGTGTGGTTCCCCCTTCAAGAAGTGTGTCAGCTGGGCGTATTGGAAATATTGTTAGGAAGTTGGGTGGTCTGTGGATGTTAAGATAGATAGCGGAGCTATCCCCGTCGGTGTGATTACCGTGTTAACCATCGGGTATCTTGTTTTTTGAGTTGGTAGGAATTGATGGAAGAACTGGGGGCGTAAGCCTGGTAAAAAGTTGGGGTTGTGTGCTAGAGGGTAGAAGGGTGAGGGATGTGGTGAGATGTCATTCTGGAGTCTAATGCGTGACCATATACGTAGTGTGGGTATGATCGTTGGGTGATGTGCGTGTTGCGGCAGGAGGAGTGAACGACCCTTGTCATGCCATGGGATCATATATAGAGGGGATTGGAACATGGAGCTCTCTATGTGCACCCATTGTTTGAGTGGGTGTATTGCATTCCATTCGTATATCCTAGTCAGTATGACCGCCTGGTAGTAGCGTTCAAGGTGGGGTAGTCCTAACCCTCCCTGCCCTCTATGTCTGGTCAGAACCGAGTATGCTATCCTCGGGCGTTTGTTCGCCCAAATGAAGGTCGTGAAGATTCGTTTGAGTTTAGTAAAGAAGGAGGGGGGGATTGTGATGGGGAGTGTTTGTAGGAGATACAGCACTTTAGGTAGCGTGTTCATCTTCAATATGTTGATCCTACATAACCAGCTGAAAACTGGTCTCTGCCAATCCCCTATATCTTTCGATATTGCCGCTAGTAGCGGTATAAAATTTAGGCCATATGTGTGTTTTAAGTGTCTGGGTAGGTGGACCCCTAAATAGGTGATGGACTTCTCGGCCCATGTGAAGGGATATATGGCTTTAAGTTCAGTTTGTGTGCGCCCGTCCAATCGGAGGGGTAGAATTTCGCTCTTTGTGTAGTTGACCTTAAAGTTGGATAGTTCTGCAAATGCCTCCAGTTCTGCAATTAAAGGTGGTAGGGAAGTGAGTGGGTCCATGATGGAGAATAGTAGATCATCTGCGAATGCAGAGACCTTAAACTCCTGTGGGTGGACAGTGAATCCGTGAATGTCGTCGTTGTCTCTTATTCCCTGCAAAAAGGGTTCTAAAGAGAGGATAAAGAGCAAGGGGGAGAGAGGGCACCCCTGTCTCGTGCCGTTTCTAATATGTACTGGGCTTGATAGTTGCCCGTTTATTCTCAATTTCGCCGTCGGGGTAGAGTATATGGCTCCCATCCATTTCATCCAATTTGGGCCAAAGCCTAAGGCTTGGAGTGTGGCTGTTAGCATTTTCCAGTCTACTCTATCAAACGCCTTTTCTGCGTCTATGGATAGAAGTCTGTCTTTGAGTGGCATGGGAGAGGTGTATAAGATTTAATAATTTAGTTGTATTATGTTTGGCTTCACGCTTAGGGACGAAGCCAGATTGGTCTTGGTGTATTAAGGTGTGTAGGATCGGTCGAAGTTGCATGGCTAGAATTTTTGTGCATATCTTTAGGTCTACATTGATGAGCGATATTGGGCGATAACTGCCGCATTCAGTGGGGTCTTTACCCGGTTTCGGTAATAGCGTGATGTGTGCTTCTAGTGCCAATGCTGGGAGTGGGGCCGGATCAGTGAGAGCGTTAAATGCCCTCAGGTATGGTTCCGTCAGAAGTGTGGCGAAGTGTTTGTAGTATTTGGCCGTGAGGCCATCAGGACCTGGGCTCTTGCCCAGCGGTGTTGATTAGATCGCACATTTTAATTCGTCCTGGGTAATAGGCATGTCTATGGAGCGGGCTACGTCTGCAGGGATTGTGTTTTTGAGCCTAGTGGAAAGAAACCCGTCTATGTCGGTTGTGGAGGGGGGCGAGTTTCTGAGGTTATACAGTTTGGTGTAAAATTGTTGAAAGGCTTCCATGATATCTGGAAGGGTGTGGGATATTGTGCCAGTCTGTGTCTTAATTTTGGAAATGTATGCGTGTTGTCTGGACTGTCGTAGGGCATTGTCAAGCAGTTTGCCGCATTTGCCTCCCCTCGCGTAGTAGGAGTGTTTAGTGTTTAACAGTTTTTTCTTGGCTTGGTGTTGCAGTAATTGTGTCAGTTCTGCGCGTTTGGTTATGAGGGTATTATACGTCGGGAGGGAGCTGTCCCTGATGTGAGTATGCTCCAGGGTCCTAATTTCCCATGTGAGTGCATCGATTCTTTGTGTCCTCCGTTTTTTAAGGGTAGCCATAATTGCCAGAAATTCTCCCCGTATGACACACTTGTGTGCCTCCCATGTTATGATGGGGGAAATGGAGGGTAGCGTGTTTTCTTGGAAGTAATTAGTGAGAGTGGTTTGCA